CTTAATGTACCTTCTATCATGTATATTAGAAGTGAAAAAATTCTGGAAAACCCCAGACTACCCCAGACTGTTACTTCCAACTGACATTGATAGGGGCTTACTCAACCTAACAGTAACAATGAATGTAAATACATTTTTGGGGTTCCTTGAAAAATCTGTCTTTTGGAGACAAGCAGATATTTATTTGAGTAACCATTCTTTTAGTGGGTGAAACTGAAGGCACAGGAAGCCAACGGCAATGACTGCAGTGCTGCTGTGATGTTCACACATCATGAGCCACTGCTGTATGTTCTTCAATTCTGATAAAAGGCTGTGCAGGAGAAATAATTTGGAAACCCATGACAGCTGGGTAGTCTCTCCCTATTTCACCCATTAGTCCTCTAAGTCAAGAGCTGTAAATGTTCAGTGATAGCTGCAGTCCTTGTACTCTCACATGTGGCACCAGGCTGCCAAATGATATGGCAGCTTGAGAGAGGGTCTTTTCTCATTATCTCTTTCAGAGACTGATATTTTTGCTGGATTTTTTTTCCTGGGTACTTGTTCTGACAGTTTTCATCTCAGTAGCCTGCCCTTATCTGTTCCTTCTTAACTGCTGGATAAATCTGTTCATTCTCACACATAGCTCTCTAACATAATTCTTCTGCCACTGTCAGCAGGCAGAGGAGAAATAGAAAACAAAAATCACTGAGTTAACAATCAGTTCTTATGCACAAAGCAATGTCAGAAGAGAAATGGCTGTGGTCTCACCTCTGCATTGTACTCCAAATTGGTGCAATCAGTATCACCATGTGTTAACCATGCTTTAATGGGTATTCTCTTCCTTCTCCTCCCTTCCAGCCTCTTTCCTTTTATCCCAACAAGAAATGATTCCTTCTTATGGGGCAATTCTGTTACAAACTGTTACCCTGCAGGGAGCATGGTCAGAATAGCAGTGTTCCTCCTTAATCTAGTTGGAAGGCTGCTTCCAGAGATGTTTAGTCTTCAGAGGCCATACCTTTGTGCAGACCCATCTCAAGTCATCTCTCAAGATGACTAAATTTTAACTTCCCTCTGCCCTTGGCATTCAATAACTTGGGCCAGAATACAAAATGTATTTTATATACAGAGTATAAAATGTATTTTGTTTCGTGTCTTTCTGGTTTCTACAGGCCAAATCAATGTCTTTCAAACTTTCTTTTTAATATTAAAGAAGCTAAAAAAAGATACCATTCAACCACAAACTTGAGAAATCCTCTTGGAGGTTTTATGACAGTCTTTCTCTCAGAGTTTGTGTTAGACAGAGATACCAACAGCTCTGTCTAGGCCTTTGGAAAGTGGCCAGCAGATAAAGCTTTCAGAAGGAAAGACGAAGCTATTTAATTTTAAAGGAAAACATGCTTAGTATGTTTAACAAAGAAGGCACTGCTTTGGAGAATGGATGTGTGCTTTTGACAGATGTTTCAGTCTCACCTTTTATCTTGCAGGATGTTTGTGTGAATTTGGGAAAATCATATTTTGGTGAACAAGTGCAACCTGTGTATGTTCAGGTCATCACACCTGGCTGCACGGCCTCACAATGCACGTGTGCTGAACCAGGAGGCTGCGTGGGTGCCAGTCACCTGAGCAGCCTTGCCAGAGAAATGGCATGGTGGGGAACAGAGATCCATGGATAATTCAGTGGTGATTAGGTGAATGTGTGTGTTACGTGACACTTTCTGTTCCTCCTTCTTCTTGTAAGTGTTCCTACAATTCTGGATCCCCTTAGTACACAACAGAAACTGCCAGTTCTTTTTTGACTCTTGCAACACCCCACTAAAAGGCACAGTAGCTGCATCCTGATGGGCATATTAATCTTTTCCCCTTGCAAGGTCTCAGCAGTGTCCCATCCACTTTTGTCCTGCCCTTCCCCACATTACCTGTGTGGATCATCCCTTTGGATGTGAGCTTGTGTAAGTATCGCACTGGAGTGGTCAGCACTGGTGGCAAACACAAATTAGCACTGGGAGGTGACAGACTGTGGCCTAAGAGTCAAGCTGTGGCTTGTATGTGGCAGATATCTGAAATGCAAGAGTGGCTACTGATGCCTTGGTTTGGGACCGACTACGAAGGAAAAGCAGCTCTGTATCCTCTCCCTTACTGCCCATGCTGTTGTCCACAAAAGTCAGATTCATTACCTGGTGTGCAACAACCCAGCAATTACACAATCAAGACAGACATTATTTATTTATTTTAGAGTTGTGCAAGCCTGGGTGTTCTGTGGTATTCCACAGATCAAGCACACCAACTACCAAAGCTTTTTACTATCTACACATTTTAGCAAACAAAGGAATTTGTGTTCATTGGCTAGAAGTTACATAGTTCTCTTATAAATTAGTATTCTGTCTTCCATTGGTTGATTGTCTCACTTTTCAAGACTGGACGCTCAGTCTTCTACCTACGCTCAGTCTTCTACTGGAGTCAGTGGATTTCTGGGGTCAGTGGTACCTGACTTGGTGGTCACCATCTCCCCCTACCAAAATTAACTTTTACCCTGTTGGAGCTATTTTAACACAATTGCTGACCTGCCTTTATTATTTTCTTCCTTATCTTGGCAGTTCTGCCAGATGTCCTTGTGGCCTGTAAATTCTACATTCTTTGTGTCCAGTATCAGTGCACATTCTTCTTTCCAAGACTTGTTACTACCCCCCCAGGTCTGAGATCACTGAAGCATGTCAAGCATGGACAACACTTGCAGCTCGTTAGTCACTCTCTATTTCACAAACTAAATATCCCTTCTTGTTGTTTAGGCTTGAAAGTATAAAAGATCAAGCATCAGAGCTCATATTTTTGCAGCAATTCCAAGGGCCAGCCCTGCTGGGCCGCGGCCATGAAACCGTGACATTAATGATCCCGGTGATGGTGACTGTGCTGTGTCCGTGTAGCCACCGCTACAATGAACTGATTCACTGTTTTCCCCACTGGCTGAGTAGGAAGAACGAGGTTTAGGTTTTGGCCAGCACTTTCAGGATGGAGCCCGGCGCTGGCAGGGCTGAGGGCGTCACTCGCTGCTCCTGCCGACCGCGGTGGGAGCCGGCTGCTCTCGCCTCACGACGCCATTTTTCCTCCCCGCTGCCAGCTCCCTCCTTCCCCTTGGGACTCATTCAGTACCAAGTGTCCCTGGAAAATGTCACTTTCGCCTCGCCACAGTGGGACAGCCACACATGCCCTGGGGTGAGGGCCAGGAAGAGGCGGGGTAGGCGGAGGCAGCAGGCTCCTCCCATCCGTCCCGGCAGGCCGCGGGCCGGG